AAATTAATATTGATGTGAAAATCACATCATATAAAATTAATCATTCCAAACTGTATAATCAGTGGCATTTAGTATAGTCACAATATTGTGTAATCATCTCCTTAAATCAGTTTTTGGCAGTTTATATTTTATGTTATTACATAGCTGCCTATATTCAGCAGACATTAATGGAAAAATTTATAGAAATCTGAAGAATTTTCATCTTTTCCAAGAGTATTTAAGTTTAGTAACATATCTCTATTCTCTTCTAAGTTTCTTTATTTCTTAGGAGAAAGTAAATGTTGTATTCCTTCTTAGAACTTGTCATATAATGTTTCTATCTTGAAGGTACATGTTGACTTTTTTCTCTTTTGCTGGTACTTTATATTGTTTACACTTACGCGATTTCTGCAACTGTTACAAGCATATACTCTGTTTTTATTAAACAATGGTGTAGCACAGTATTTCTGAGAAATTGATGAACATTTTCATGAAATTGTCCCAGGAAAATGGGAATTCTGAGATGATGAAATGAATTATCACAAATTTATGCTAATATAATAACTTTTTTCTGCTTTCCAGGATTCCAAATTAAATGTTATATAAAGTATGTGAAGTACATTACTAGTAGTCTGTTTTGTTAAAATGTATTTAAATTATATATCCAGGCCACAGAAACTCTGACTTATTATTTACTACCATAAATTAGGGAAAATGTTACTTTTCAAAAACAATCCTTTCAAAACATTCTAATAGTATTTTAATATACTTAATAACTTTATATTATATAGTCACATAATTATTCTTCAAAGTAGATCTATATTGCTTCTAGAATTGCAGATGCTTTATTTATATTGCCTATCTCATGAATACTTTGGTTTTTGGTACCCATGCCACTGGACAGAAATCTTTCACAAATAATGTTTAGACAAGCTGTTTTGAGGACATCGGTTTAATGTGTTATTTAGGATTTCGTTTTAGGATCTTTAATTTATATGTTACATATAGAAAGAATTATATGTATCTGTGCTATTAAACTGAGGAATCTATTTTTTTAAAGCATTTATTAACATCCAGAAAGAAGCTTGTTTGTAGGCTGCAAGTTAACTTGGATCCAATTAAAACTGATTATTTTACCCCCTTTACTCCCTCCCCACCCTTGGTTAGCATTAAACTTTAGCAATAGTCTATTGAAAGTGTTGGGCGAAACCAAATTGAATTGACACCCAAAAAAGAATTAGTGAGGTATTTTGACAAGAACTAGTTCTAAGAATTGAAATATATCCCAGTTAAATTCCCAGATTTAAATTAACTTAAAAATTTCTAGGAGTCTTTAGAAAGATGTTATAGGCTATTTTTCATAGTGGTTAGAAGCAAACACACAGTACATAGTGTTTAGAGCCCTGTAACCTGTGGCTAACAGAGGCTAATAACAAACCTCAGAAAAGGACTGGATGTTTCATTTTTTGTAGCTCTTTCTGCTCTGGAATCTAAGTAGTTTGCAAACACTGCCCCACTGAGCATAAAGTCAATGAAGTGTAGTATTTGTGAAGTAGAACACAACTACTGTTGTGTGCTAGTTCCCCACATTGATGGGCCTGCCTGTTAATTATCAGCAAAAGGGTTTGGTGCTTAGGGGACGACTGGGGAGAGAGCACATCTCAAAATGGGTCTCCCTGAGATCCATTGTTTTACTATGAACTTTTGGTGCATATTTGCCAACATATAACTGGATTATGTTTATAGACCTCTTTTGCATTAGTGTTTCTTATAGGTTGCACTTTTATATAGCAAGGTGTATGTTGTTATGGATATTGCATAATCTATATGATTCAATTCATTTTTTTTTTTTTTTTTGAGACAGAGTCTCACTGTGTTGCCCGGGCTAGAGTGCCGTGGCGTCATCCTAGCTCGCAGCAACCTCAAACTCCTGGGGTCAAGCAATCCTTCTGCCTCAGCCTCCCGAGTAGCTGGGACTACAGGCATGTGCCACCATGCCCGGCTAATTTTTTTCTATGTATTTTTAGTCGTCCAATTAATTTCTTTCTATTTTTAATAGAGACGGGGTCTCGCTCTTGCTCAGGCTGGTTTCGAACTCCTGAGCTCAAACAATCCGCCCGCCTCGGCCTCCCAGAGAGCTAGGATTACAGGCGTGAGCCACCGCGCCCAGCCAATTCATTTCTGTATATAACTACAAACTAGATTATTTTGCAGATCAGGGGAAAAAATAACCCACATTTTGGGACTGGGGGAACTTTTCATTTTTGAGAAGGATAAATAGCGTGTGTACTGTGTCTAGTGCCTGTTAAATTATAGAACTTAATCTACGCAGTACCTTACAAGACGTTAAATGTTGCCACCAGTGTTTATTCCTTAAAAACTTCTGCCAATTATTACTTTGAAAATGGTATCCATGTGATTTACTGACTCATCATTCTTATTACATATGGTGATAAGTGAAGTAGATGAAAAGAAAGTACTGCATAAACTAACCTTACATAATATTTACTAACAGTATTGAAGTTTACAAAGAGAAGGGGTGGTAGTATCTTCTTGGAATTGAAAGTGGCAGTGGGGCAGAGGGGAAGGGCAGTTAAAGCATAAAAAATGGAGGAAATTTTTGTTGAAGATTTTTTAAACTTGAAATCTAATTTCCAAAGGTCATGTAACGATTTGGGAAGAGAAGCAGTTGAAGGATAAATTGGGAAGAGGAAGCACAAGGTGGTGTGAGGATGAAGACATAGGAGAAAGATAAACAGCAGATAAATGAGTGATAACAGAAGGTATCTGGGACATGAGACATGGTGATAGGTTTAGATGACCACAAGTTCGCCAAGAAAATTAGATCCAGTGGTCCCCCAGTAGATTGTTCACAGACTTCAGTTGAGGCCAAGGTATGGTTTTTCCGAGAGAGTTGTGCTTTCTTATAGCTGGGAATATTCTGATAGTTTTCTGGAGGGAGTCAGAAGAGTTCTGGATTGATTGATGTGGTGACAGATGTAGGGATTTGAGGGTCCTTATATTACAGGCTTCCAAAGAGGTAAGTACTTAGAAGTCTGGCCTTTTTGTGCTGAGACTGGTGGGTAGAGGC